AAATACTTGGACTGTAACAATACCCAGATTTGTTAACCAATGCTGAATTCTTCAACAAATTAAAGTGCCTAGCATATCTCCTCTTTTTTTTTACACTATGTCCTAATTTATGTCTTCTGCCACCCACCCTAGTTTGCTGTTTTTGAATTGGATCTGTGTACAGACATGCTGGCCTTCCTTCTCCTTAGACCTTCACCTGCCATAGACGTATTCCTAACAATAATAGTCTACTAAAACGAACATGTCAGCACATCAATTATTAAGTCGGCAAATGGTGCTTTATTTTGTATTGTTTTTTTTTTGTTTTTTTGCGATGTGTCATGCTCACTGATGAAAGGTTAATGGGAAGAACATCATATATATATAATTTTATTATTGCTTTAGAAAAATGTACTTCAGTGCCATTTTTGGTACACAATGAAAAATGTGAGTGTTTCAGGAGCATTTAGTGTCAACTGGGAACATTTGGTTTGGCATAATGTCTGTTGAATTTGGTTTTTGATTTTGGCTGTGAATCTCAACTGTTATAACCTAGCATGTCCGCTGCAAATGTGCCCATTTTTTTAGATAACCCTTTATTTTCAAAGCAATGGGTATTTATTTAAAATACAAATAATATTAACAATATCCAGGATATGCATTAAAAAAAAACTATATCGTTTTTACTTTTTTTGTCAAACTTATTTAGAAGACATTGTTTTAATATCCATGATACTATTATGTCTGGTCTGTATTAAAAATAAATAAATAAATAATAATTCGGTGTTAAATAGATATTAGATTTTTTTGCCAAAGTAAATGCAATGGAGCTTAAGCCAAACAATGAGTAAAGAAATATCAAGAGGTCTTCTATTCTCTAAAATATGGCAGTTTCACATTGTCCTGCTTTATTAAAAGTGCAATAGTTTATAAATATAATTATCACTTGCACTTAAAAGCACACAATGTTGAGTAAAAGAAAAACACTCTTTGGATTTCAAATAAGAATTGAACTTTAACATTTTCTTATGAAGCCAATACCCTGGGAAAACTCTGCATCAATTGATCTTGATTGAGCTCCAAGCCGGTGATATGTACTGATTTTCAGATTTCTTGGAATGCACCAAAACATTGTGATTTGTAATATTATGGTGATTTGTTTGTGAATGTACTTGTTAAGTAGTTTGTTTTTTTCAGTTTAAGGAATGTAAAAATAACGAACTAAAAAAGATACAATAAACAAACAAAATTAAACAAGATAGTACAAAATATGGTAAAAATAAAAATGGAAGGTTCTTAAGATAGGCTATTCACTAAGCTCCAGTTTGAATGTAAGTACAACATTATGGGTAAATTCCTGATCTGATTTTTACCTGTAATTGCAATTCAGGTATTCACTAAAACTAACTCAATAATTATTTCACGGAAATGGAATCTAACTGAATGTTCTGGGAGGAAAAAATATTTTTTTGGGTGGGGGGAAGAGACATACAAATGGACTGGGGGATGATGAAAGAGACACACAAAGGGGCAGGAGTAGGAGAAAGCGACACACAAAGGGACTGCTGGGGAGAGACACAAAAATGGTCTGGGGAAAACAGACACACAAAGGGACTGAGGGGATGTAAGAGACACTCAAAATGGATTGGGAGAAAGAAAACCACAAAGGGTCTCGGAGTAAGTAAGGGACACACAAAGGGGCAAGGGAAGAAAGATTGACACAAAGGGCTAGGGGGAAGTAAGAGACACACAAAGGAGAATGGGGGGTATGAGACACACAAAAGGGCTGTAGAAGAAAAGAAATTCAAAGAGGGGTTAAGAAACACACAGAGAAAGGCACATGGAGAGGAGCAAAATGAATCTTCGCCTGTCTAGCCAAAAATCCTTGCACAACGCCTAGGAGACTGATAAGATCAGTATGGCAGCAACCCACAATGCAGGTCTGGACAGTGGGCATGAAACCTTTAATTAGCAAATGCAACATATGAAACAGGCCGTGTATGACCTATGCAAGATCTACTCAAGATATCTTTCTGAAGGGACTAACTCTGTACCTTTGACCAGAAGACAGATTCCTTGACCATTGAAGTCACAGTCAAGACCATTATCTGTCCCAGGGGCTAGCAGCAGACCTGATTTGAACTTGAAGTCAACAATATTGGACCTCTCAACAATGGACAAAATGAAGCCTTTTAATCACAGGGACACCATCAAGAGCAGGCTGGAGAAGCCTAAAAAGCAGACCCTTACATCAGGAAATCTAAGGTAGCCAAAGAGTAGTAAATCATTCTCAAAGAGAAATAAAACAAGGCTGCCATTTTGCTCCTTTTGACTACAATGCTCCTCAGAAGTCATAACCTTCTAGATACTTCTCTTAATTAACTTATGCCTCTTGTACCAGGGAGTAGGTTGAATTAACGTTTTTGGTCATATAGGACTGTCTAATTCTTGACGGATATCCATTTTTTTCATATGACTTGACTTGTTTATTCCTCAATTATCATTCCCTTGTGGGACATCCAGTGATTAATAAGTACAATTTGCTTGTCTTTTTGTTTCAAACCAAGAACTATGATTATGGAGTACAATTTTCTTATATTTTTGTTTAAGTACTACCTAAGCCTTATTAGGCTTTAGAGTTTTTTCCTTTAATTATAAAAGTGTTGTAAGAAGAGGTCATGTGAGGAATTTAGGAGATTCACCCAGGTTCCTCATACAACAGATTAGGAAGGTACATTAAATGTTGCCATTTAAGATGTGCTGTGGGAGGGTGGTGGGTATGTTTAGTGATGGTTCCGTTCATTGTAATCCAATCTCCATAAACTTTTCCCATGTCATATATACATATACATGTGTGTATGTTGTGCGTTCATGTATCCTTTTCTTTAAGTCATTAACTATGAAAGAATAAGAAATTAAATATATGACATTTTCAAAAAAATATAGCATAGCACATATTCTTTTCTACTGTTCACATCCATAATGCTAATTTATTAGCTCAATGGAAAACATAACACTCAATTTTTCTAAAAGCCTTAAAAATACCTGGATAAAAAAAAGTTTATAGATATACAACTCTGCTAAAAACGCCAAGCCCAATTTACCCCAGCTTAGATGTTAAGGCATGTAGCATCTTCAAATTAAATGAACCTGCCTTTACTTGAATTCCAAATTACACCACTATTTCTACAACACTATGTATTTATGTAAATGAGCCTATAAATGGCAACCTACCTAAAATAAAGCTCATTTCAGCCACAGTGGGATTTAATCATAGGGTAATATGTTCTTCTGTGGTTTGAGGACAAGCCAAAAAATA